GCCCGGCAGCCCCGCGGGCTGTGCTCGGACCGGCCGCCGGCGGAGCGGAGCGGGGCGGCTCTTGGCGGCGAGAGGAGACGGGCAGCGGGCCGGGCGGGCAGCCCCAGTCCCGCCGCACGCCGGGACGGCTCGGAGGGGAGCGGGGCGGGGGCCGAGCCGCGCTGTGCCCTGAGGCGGCGGAGCCGCTCTTACCTGTGCGCTGCCCGCGCTGCGGCTCGGGGCGCTCCGGAGCGGGCGGGCTGCGCTGCCGAGCGCCCCTTGGCTGCGGCCGCCGCTCCGCCGCTGCAACTTTCCATAAAAGTCGCGACGCGCGCCCGGCGCCCGCATTCCAGGCGAGCCCCGCGCCGCGGCAGCTGGCCCGGCCCGGCCCGGCTCGTCCCCGGCCCTGCGGCTCGGCGCGCCCGGCCCCTCGCTGGCGGCGCGGGGGGCGCAGCCAGCCAGCCCCCCTCCCCGCAGGCAGCAGCCCGGCCAACAGGCTAATTTTGGGCTGGAAGCAGCACCGAGCTATAAATAACCGGGGCGGCGAGGCCGCCGCTCAGCTGCGCGTCCCTGGCCGCGCCGGCCCTGCCGCAGGGCAGCGGGGCGAGCGGGGGCTCCGCGGGCCGGGCCGGCGGGACGCACCGGCACCCACCGCCCGCAGCCTCCGCCGCCGCCCGCCTTCGCCCTGCCCGCGCTGGTCCCGAGCACCGCGGCTTTTCCCGGCCCGGACCGGCGCTCCCCGGCCCGGTGCCGGCGGGTCAGCCCCACTCACCGCCACCGCCGCAGCCCCGGCCCCGCACGCAGGGAGCGCTCCGCTGCGCCGGCCCGCGGGGTTTTATACCTACGGCGGTCCACGGGCCGGTTAATGGCACATGGAGAGCGATCAACTAATAATAGTAATGTGACAGTTCGCTGATGGAGCGGGCAGGAATCTCCCTAGTGCCAGGCTGCGAGAGGCAGAGCGCGGTGGCTCAAAGCAGCGCCTGTCGCTGGGAACTTCACAAAGCAGAGGCAGAAACGTGATTTTGTTACATCTGAACACATTCCTTTTCCTGCTTGAAGATGACTGTTTTCCTACGTGTTCAGTTGCAAGGTTTCCAGTGCAGAACTTTCTTCTTCCTATCTCCCTTGTATTGTGTCTGCCGGACTGGAGCCTAATTTCAGCTGGGTTATCAGCATTAGGATAATAACCACATGACCCTAGGCTGTGCAGATCCGAACAACGGCCATCAAAGCTAAAACACAGAAGGCGTTTGCCTTTAGAAGGACACAGCAGGCACTGTCACCCAGTGCCACCCTCGCACTGAAGCCCAGGAGCGGCGTCGGGGCTTCTGACCGCCAGGGACCCACCCGCTTTCAGCACATGAACACACAAACGTGCAACACATAAAACAAATCTGGGCAGACCAAAGCACGGACACATGGCCCGTCTACAGCAGTAGGGGTCAGACTCCTTATGTCCTCTATTTCATTATTTGTATTACTCCATAAAGGAGGTCTTAATCCACAACTGGAACTCAGCACTGCAGTTTGGCTTGGAAACCAGCCTGAAAAAATTTGTCTCCTAAAACCAAGTAGAGAGACAACAGCTTGGCTGTTACAATGTAACAGCTGTATACAATGAAACTGGACAGCCCAAAAGCTGCTCCCATTCAATATTTTTTAAATTTATATAGTAAATTTTGAAACAGCGGTTCTTTGTTGATTTCAGGCAGAAAACTCAAATTTCAGGATTACTAACTGGTTTCAAAATTCCTCCCATATTAAATGATTTTGCATTAGATTTCAAAAACTAATTCAAGTTCAAATTCAAGTTTCAGATGCAGTTATATGAGCAACAGTTGTTTCACTGAAATATTTTATTTTATATACACAGCTGCAGTTCATTTAGGCAATAGAAAGGTCACAAATACTCTTACTGACACTTGACTTGACACATTTACTTTGATAGAAACCAAACACTACAAAAAGGAAGAATAATAATAATTAAGAACACATTTAAAGTAAAATTATTATCACAACTAAATTACAAATGATATAAATATTTGATTCCTTATAATCCCTATGCATTCAGCATTTCTAATCTTAGGAGTACCATTATGGCAGAAGAGGATGGCTTTTAAATTTAGTTTGTTCTTATTAGGATGGAAAGTATCATTCAAAACTACCTAAATTCAGGCACTATAAACTAAATTCTGAGTCTGATTATGAATTAACTAGAGTAGAACTATCATGCTGTCACTGCTGTGGTGCAGCTCTGGCACTTGTTTGCAGAGATGGTGCACTCCTGAATTCTTAAGCCACACGGCTGGTTATCAACAAATGTTGTGTCCAGCTCAAGGGGCAGGCTGTAAGAGAACTGATTGCAGTTCTGTGCTGCAAGGAGAGAGCTTTAACCCATTTAAAATGGCATTTCTCTCTGGAGTTAGCTACACACTCAGAATAGATGGATGCTTTTTAGAAAAAGGTTGAAAAAGACTCAGAGGAGATCAAAGGCCTTCCCACCTGTACCTGACATCTCCCTGTCTCCCTATTCCCTTCTTTTTTTGGTTTCTTTACCGCTTCTCAATCAAGTGTTTGTTGGTGGCATCTTATAACAACCAGATCCTGTATTTCTTATTTTGGATGAGAAATACATCGGTTCAATTTCCAGCCCAACTCTGTGGACTTCTGAGAGCTCTGTGAGTGTTTGGATGTGCTCCTGTTTGAAAGGGACACTAATGCTGAAGTCAGATATTATGAAGTTCTCCCCATTTTCTAAATAGTTTGGTGTTTTATTAGACTTTTCTTATTCTTGTGTTTAAAACAATCCTTGTGTTTTTGACAGAAGACCAAGTTTCCAGGTTTAATTTTTTCCAAGTGTCTGGAAACATTTATAATCTCATCTGCAACTCTGTTTCTTCAAGAGCTTTTTATAAATATCAAAATCTCAATTACCTTTAATTCAGTGAAAAAGTGCATTTCTATTTGTTTGTGATGTATGTTAAGGTGCAATTTTCTTCATGCCATTTTATTAGACCAGACAAACCACAGCAGACACTCTGTTCTGTTACCTGCAGGTCATACATTTGCTCTAGAATATGCAGAACACTCACTGTTCCTTCTATTTCCAGCTATTCCTATAGATTCTGAACCCAACAAGACACCTTTATTGTTAAATATAATTTCTTTCATAACTTGCAAAAAGCTGCCAAAATACACATAGCTTAAGCATATTTATCTTCTCAAAACTTAAGTGAGGTGGGTGAAGAAAAACTTCACATGCCTGTATTGAAGACACATTGCAGAGAAAAAAAAATACAGCAAGGAGGATGGTGCCAAGCTCAGCAAGTTAAACGGTGGAAATAGGCCAAGAATAGCATTTGGAATTTCTGGTTTATTACATATAGAGAATACTCTTTTTTGTTAAATAAACTATAATCAGTTGGCATTTCACACAAGTAATATGACACATTTTCATCACTTTTTGTATTTATCAAGTGAGTACAACAAAAGAGCAAAATGCTGGCTTCAGTAAAATCTATGAATTACACAGGCCCTCCTTTTGAACAGCATCCTTTTGGGTTGTGTTTGACAAGAAATTTGAAATGTTGCTAGTCAAAGTTTGTTTTGATATCCTAGAATTTAACAACATGCTTCTCAAGTATCTGAATATTTGGAATTACTCTGTATTTCTTGATGTGGGATAGATTCTTGTGGGCTGGCTTTGTGTAGCAGAGGCATGTAAGTGCAGTTTCAAAGACTAAACAAACCGTGAAGCATTGCTTCAGTTGAAAGAAATTCAAAGATTACAGCTCTTCATTATTTATCACCTCTGGAACAGGAAAAGCCATTGCTGCAAGGTGCCTCATGCCTTCTGAAGGTGCTGTGTTCCTATCTGAAGTTCAGGGTTCCATGGCCTGAGCCACAGCTTTACACTGCACAGACATGGCCACAATTGCATAAATCTCCACTTAAACAGACACCTGACTTCTCACAATGAAGGGAGGAAGACACAAATTATTAAATTATAAAACACTGCCTTCAATTCTGTTTCATAATTAATAAATCTTATAATACATACTTATTTAAAAATATATTTTGAAATGCTACATATGAACTGAGAATAACATTGGTTCATTTTCCACCATATTGAGTAGTAATGGTTTTAGAACAAGGAAGTATTAAATTAATTGGTGAAGCTAGCTTTTCAAATATAAAGAAATATTTTAAAATACCTAAGTGATGTTTAGATATTTTAAATCAAAATAAAGTAAAAATTGCATACTGGCAGTCATTCCTGCCCAAATGGTGCTTGCATTTCCTGCACTGCTCCATTACACTGTAGTACAAAATGGCTGCTTACACCCACACAAATGGAATTCTGGGGCAGGGGCAACATGTTCAGGTCTGTGCGTGTGATTGCTTTATTGCACGTGTCACATGAATCATTGACTGCAGACACCCCAGTCAAAACACCTTCTAGATCTAGACACCTAGTGATTTGGAGACTCTGCAACGAACATTTTGTACTATAAGCTTTTAAAGGAAACAACTCCATCAGCTTCACTTACGAATTATTTGTGCAAAAGTACAGTATTTCATAAATAAACTTTACCCGAATATTACAGAAAAAAGCTTTGGGATACATGAAATATAAATACAGCAACAGCTGAGCTGCAAAATTAATTTAGGTATATACAGTAATACACTCCCCAGTTCTTTTCACAGATGTACATTTAACCTCCCTGAGTCCTTTTCCATACTTAGCAACATGATGCATTCCCAGATGCTTGCTCAGTAACAGCCACAGCAGCTTCAGCACTAGAGAAAAGGGTGGAAAAGAGCACATCTGTGTGCACTCCCTGCCATTTGCCAGGGATTTTAAGCTTACTGTACTTTTGCCTCCAGGAGCCCACTGGTCAGGACAGGCCTGTGGCCACTGACACAGGCCCCGACGTGTCTCAGTGAGTCAGCCCCAAGATAGGCCAGCAGCAGCTCCGTGTGCCGGATCAGCAGCTGGGTGAGGTCTTCAGCCAGGCTCTCCATTGTTGAGTATCTCACCTTTTCAAAATCAAAAATGTCTTTGAGGAAGAAAAGCACTTGATCCTAGTGGGGAAAAAAACTTGTTTTCAGGTACAAGAAGGAAAAAAAGTCTGCAATGCTAACAGCTCTTTCTTTAACATGTTCCCTAAAAGCATCCAATTTTGGTGCTGAGATGGAAGTGTGCTAAAACAGCCTTGGTAAAACAGTTCCAGGCTTAAAGCATTCATATTAAAGTACTTACTTCTCATGGTTTCTTACTGTTAACCTTAATCTTAGGAAAATGCAAATGTATGCTAATAAAAAAAATCTTAATTTGTTTTAATCAGAAAGATTTAAAAAAAGTGGTAATTAAAAGGAAGTTGCAAACCTTGAAGAAGCAGCATA